TTGTGGGCTTGGGCAGCATTGGGTTGGGATATTTTCGTGATGCACCTTTTCTTTACATAAAACTCTCTCTTATACATGAGTTGCTGTGGATTTGTTTCTCCAAAGTACCCAGACTAATACAACAGCTGTATTTTTGGATTCCAAAGATAGATTTTTCTCCAATGACACGAGATATCACAGAGGCTTACTATGAAGAAAATGGAAAACTGCATTAGTGAGGAAAAGGCCAGGAAAGTTGTGCTGAGGAATTACTTTCCATCGCAACAATGCACCTATTCATTCTTGAAGGGTAACAAGAGCTGTCTGCCTCACGAGAATTTGGAGGAGAAAACCATACCCCCATCCACCCCATAGTCCTGATCTTGCCTCTTAAGACTTCTTTTTCTTTTCCAAACTCAAAGAACATTGAAAAGTCACACTATTTGGGTCCCTCAAGTATGCCCAAACTGCCATTTTGATGTGGTGTAAATCCAAGAGTGTACAATTCTTCCGGGAATGGCATCATATTTCAATACTCTTGTTTAAGCAAGGATTCTATGATTGTGTAGCAGTACTGATTGACTTGCCTTTTCCACAGTACGATACCCTAGGACAAAAGTAAGAACACTGCAAACAGAAAGTTGTGTCAGGAGGAGTGTTGAAGAAGGAAAAAAGGGGAGCACTTTGCTGACCTGGAATTAGAGTGGGGAGTTACATAAGCCTTTTTATAGAAAATAAGTGGTAGTTGAAGGGTGAGTTAAGAATTGCTCTCCTTGACATCCCCTCACAGAAGGGTCACAAGGAAGGGATGAGTCAACCAGGGCACACTATAGTACCAATGAAACACACAATATTCCTCTGGTTCCTTGAGGTTTCCTCACCCCCCACTATCATGACCCCATCCTGCCTTTCACTTTGGGCTAGACCAGAGCATGTACACTGGTACGGATAAGAGCTCATGGAATCCAGGTCAGATAAACCCTCAGGAACAGAAATGGGAGTAGGGATACGAGGAGGGTAGGGGGAAGAGGAGGGAAAAGAAGGGGGAACTGATCACAATGATCAGTGCGTAAACACCTCTCCCCCAAGAGGGATGAACAACAGAAACGTGGGTGAAAGGAGACAGTGGTCAGTGTAAGATATGAAAACAATAATTTATAATTTATCAAGGGATTACGAGGGTGGGAGGGACAGAAGAAAGAGGAGAGGAGCTGATACCAAGGGCTCAAATAGAAATGTTTATAAAATGAAGATGGCAACATATTTACCAATATGCTTGATACATTTGGTGTATGGAATGTTATAAGAGCTGTAAGAACCTCAAATAAAATGATTAAAGACAAAAAAGACTTGCTCTACTTAAGAAAGGGCTTGGGCAGGCGATTCCTTGCAGAAGGAAGAATATGTGGAAAGTCACAGTGAAATGAAGTATATTGGTAGGTGCCTTTTATATAGCAAGAATGTATATATACATTCTTGGTGTTTAATCCTTACAGCTATATTCAAAATAGGTATATTCATATTTTATGTTGAGAAAACTGACACTAATATAAGGATTGAGATTGAAACACTGCTCTGATGCTAATATTTTTTCTTATATATCATTCGACTTACTACCCAGTGCAATTAGATCTTTTGAAATGGAATAGTCGTTGAATTTAAAACGGATGTGTTTCTAACACCTTTAGTAATTGTAGTCATATTTGAGATAAAAATCATTTAAGTAGCTTCGCCTAAACAATGCAACTTATTTTTTTTCAATTAGGATTTCAAGATGAAGCACTTCCTTTGACTCCTCAAGAAGAAAGTCCTAATGTTTGTACTAATAAAACCCTAGAGAAAATAAATCAAGGAAGAGCAGATCATATCATTGAAATTCAAGCATCAGGTATGCTATATGTTTTTAAAATGCATTCAGATTTACTGAATTTAAAAGCTCTTACTTGGTTATCTAGGACACACCTCTTTTTCCATGTAATTTTCTTTACTTGTTTCAGATAAGAGGAGCCTTGGTAATGTAGTGGTTACACGCTGGACTGCGACCCCCTCAAGGTCTACAGTTCAAAACCACCAGCCTCTCTGTGGGAGAAGGGTGGGGCTTTCTACTTCCATAAATAGTTGCTGTCTTGGAAATTCACAGAGCAGTTCTGCCTTGGCCTATAGGTTCCCTATGAGTCGACATTGACTCATTGGCAATGAGTTTGGTTTTTGTTTTGTTTCAGATTTGGCTGCTCAAAGTTGCTTTTATTTCTTAATTACACTCCTATTTTCAATCCAAGACAACCCTCTTCACTGCCTTTGAGACCACCAAGTGTTTTCCCTTCCTTCATTTAAACTGCTGCTGCCTCTTTCCAGTCATTAGAGAATAACAGACTGACCGTCCCAGTCTGGAAAGTGAACTCATGACTGCTATCTCTGCTCTTTTACCCTCTATCAGGAAGGTGTAAATAAGTTGCTATTATTCCTACATTGATTATAATTTTATTGTGCAGCAAAGAATATTCTTTGGCTCCTAAAGAACAGCCTGCTTAAGAACATTATGCTTATTATTAGAATCAATAAGAAAATACGACACAAATTCATGAATATCTTTTCCTTCTTTTGGTTCAAGTTTATTTATGGTCTTTAGGTGGCCATGAGAAGAGCTCTGGTGGTGCAGGGGTTAAACATGTGACTGCTTTGCAAGAGGTCAGCAGTTCTGTGGGAGTCAGATGAGATAGTTTGCTTCCAGATTTGTTCTACTTGGTATAAATACCCTGAAATAGCTTCTAGGCAACCTCATGATTTTAACTCAGTAAAGAATTTGTATAGAAGTTCATATTCCCCCCTACCCCGCCCTTGCAAGTACCGTGACCCCAATTCTGCCTTGCAAACCTGGTTAGAACAGAGGATGCACAGCGGTACAGATGGGAACTGGAAATGCAGGGATTCTAGGACAGATGAACCCCTCAGGACCAGGGGTGACAGTGGCGATACCAGGAGGGAAGGGGGGCATAGAAAGGGGGAATTGATCACAGGGATCTACATATAACCTCCTCTCTGGGGGATGGGCAACAGAGGGGTAGGTGAAGGGAGAAGCCGGGCAGTGTAAGATAAGATATAATAATAATTTATAAATTATTAAGGGTTCATGGGGGAGCGGGGAGGGAGGGGGAAGGGGAAAAAGGAAAATGAGCTGATTCTGGGAACCCAAGAGGAGGGCGAATTTTGGGAATGATGAGGGCAACAAATGTGTGGGTGAGCTTTGCACAATTGACCTATGTATTGTGATGAATTGTATGAGACCCAATAAAATGATTTAAAAAAAAAGTTCAGAGTTTCTTGGTTTGCAGAGGCTGTGGGTGGCAGTGGAAGCCCAAAATTCATTTGCTGGGTCTGCACATTAAGCCTCCAGTGAATCCCTTTGACCATAGTTAAGGGATATGACTTGCCTTGCTGTCATAGAGCAAACATTGTAAAGTCAATTATGGCAGCTGTAGTTATGTTAAAATGTAATACCCTATCATTTGATCTCCCTTTTGACCCATTTTAAAATTGTTTTAGTTTCTAATATTTTCCATCAAAATTCTCTTTGATTGAGGTTTTACATGTTTTGTCTAGTCATTGTTGGGATTTTGTTTGTTTACTTTATATAATTCTATATGACTGTGTTTTGCTATGTGTGATTTTCTGCCTGGAATCCAGGATAGGTAGATCTATAGAAAGAACTGGATAGGGGCAAGGCAGGTCGAATGGAGGGTAATAGGGGAGCTAACAACCAATGAAGACGAGGAGGAAATGTCCTGAGATTGATCGCGGTGATGATTGCACAAATGTTCTTAATATTACTGAATGAGTAAATTGAATGATATGTGAAGTAGATGCCAATAAAACTGTTTAAAATACATAAATAAGATAAACTTTTAAAAACATTTTAAAGAAATTCAGGCTTTCATGAAGTGGTATTCTTTAATTGGTTTCAACCATGAGCAAACCATTTTAATGTTAATGTTTTTCTTTTGCAGCTAGCCAATCCCGAGCATACTGTTTCTTAGAAGCAGCGGCTACTCCTATCTTAAGAAAGCTTGCATGCCTCGGTGTGCTCCCTGCTGATAATTGGAAATTTGCCACTATTATCTTTGATCAGTCAAGGTTCCTTTTAAAGGAACAAGAAAAAGTAATAAGTGATTCTAGTCACTTAGGTGAGTATAAATAAAAATCACACAGGCGTAATGGTTCCTTGAAGTCACAGTAAGAGAGGGGAGAAGGGGAGCTGATAGCATTGTTGATTGTATGCCCCACCCGATGGGATTCAACAACAGAACTGTATGTGAACAGATATTGGGATATGTCAATAAAAATATCATTTAAAAAAGACACAATATGGAAATACAGCTAACAGTTTAATTGTTTTTGTCAGATATTTCATATTTTTCATTAATATTATAAAACTTCCATATGATATAATTTAGTTTTGTGTAACTTTTTGTTATTTTTAAGTATTAACTAGATGAAATAATAAACTACCTTTTAGTATTAAAAAAAGATATACTATTAGGCCTGTATCAAAGCAATACTATCGTAAAAAAAAGTGTATAAAAGGCTAAATTTGTATGTTTACTTATAATGCAACAATAAGTTACTTTTTTCTTAACATGATTGCTTCTGAAATAAAGTTTTTACCTCAGGTGAGGATGAAAAAATAAAGAAGAATCATATTTTAAATAATATAGATGTATGAATTATTATAATGAATTAACAAAACTTGAGAATAGAAGACAGAAATTACACAGCCATGTATAAAGGCATAACTCTATAATAATGTTAACTATTATTTAGTGTTCTGATGTGTATTCTAAAATTCTAATATATATTCTACGTTTTTCAATATGTTTTTCAATATGCCTACTTAGGTATAAATGATGAAAGAGAAACGACATTCAAGCATGCTGCTCTTTTACATATTCTGGTAACAACTAGAGATATCCTTTTAACGTGTAGCTTGGACACAGCATTGGGTTGGTTGGAAGTTTTGTATTTCTGTATTTTTTCTCTGTTGAAATATCTCATCTAAAATAAGCTTTATTTTCCTGGAAAAATTCACCTTATAAGAAATAATAAGTTTTTTTTTACTTCTGCACTAAAGATTACATACATTTTGGACATAATTGTAATGGAGTACATATTTTATTCTGCTTATAATCATAAGAATAAATTATGTTTAACAATTATCATCAACTAAAAATATCAGTTTTATCTCTTATCTAGGCATAAGTACAGAGTCCTTATGTTCTTAAGCAGATTTGATTGTAAAATCATTCTTATACACTACTTTTAAATATAACTTACTACTTCCTCTGGAAAGCCCAGTATTGTGCTTTTCCTTTCTCCTCCAATTAAACCCGTCGGGCATATTCTGGACCAGGTTATCTTTTCTCCATCCACAGACAATTGAGGATTGGGACTCTATAGCCCTAGTACAAACCAGGAAAGAGTCTAAGGGTGTAATATCAAATGACCTTCTATTTAGTTGCCTGTTTTCATTATACTTCTTGGTTTTCGTGAAAGACGCTCAGTCTTATCACATATGAGGTCACTAGTAAAGCATAATATTAAGGCAGAATATATAAAATAATAGAATATATGAGCTCCTAATGCTGTAGAGAGGATACAATGACAATACTCTACTGTCAATTATCATTGTCTTGTGTTAGGGAAATAACATTTATAATGGATTGCTCAAAGTATTTTCACCTTTAATCATTTGATAATTTACTCTAGAATTAAATGAGTGCTATATACTTAGGTAGTTTTGTTTGTTGGTTTGTTTGTTTGGGCTCCTCAAAGAATTGCATTTACAAAATCATGCTTTGATATTACCATCAAGCTACCTTGAAGTATACCATAAGAGTAAAATTCGTGATGGAAAATTAACTTCTCAAACTCTTAAGTAACAAGTCATATGAACTGCCTTGGATAGTTTTAATGGAGAGCATTCTCATGTTTCTAAACACAAAACCAAAACCTTTGCTATCCAGTCAATTACGACTCATGGCGACTCTACAGACCAGGTAGAACTGCACAGTTTCCAAGGCTGTAATCATTAGTTGTGGACTGCTACTTCTTTCTCCCACTCAGTGATTCATAGGGTAGAATAGCTTACCTTTCAGTTAGCAAGGAACACCGCATAACTAGGACTCCCTTTACTCCTTACACTTCTTGAAATCAAGGAGCAAATTAAGTGGTCTTTCTTCTCTTCTCTCTGTGGGGGTGGGGCAAGAAAAGTTTGTGTGGTGGGGGTAGGGGTTGGGGGTGGGGGAGCTGCCTGCCTGCTCTGCTCTCTCCCAGAACTCTACATTTTCTCCTGGCTTCAAGTTTGCTCTGACTCTCTTGGTAGCAAGGTATAGAATTTCCCTCTGGGCTTTAATCTAGGAGAGTAAATTCAGGAGAGTGTAACAAGTAGCACGGAAAACAAAACAAAAACCAGATTCACTGCCATGAGTCGATTTCACTCTCAGCAACCTTATAGGACAGAGTAGAATAACTGCCTCTGTGTGTGTTTGAGGCTGCAGATCATCATGGGAATAGAAAGCCTCATCTAATGGGTGTAACTGCTGACCTTGTGGTTAGCATTCCTACCACCAGGAGGGCTCCTTTGGGTTGGGTAGTGTGAGCGAGCCCTCCAGGGTAGTATGAGAGGGCTTCAAAAAGTTTGTGGGAAAATAGAATTAAAGGATAGTGGTAATTTTCTTTTTGAAGCCCTCTAGTATATAGCTATAGAGATACATAGTAGTGGCAGAAAGGATGGAACCTGTTACCCTTAGATGGACTTCTTGTTGTTTTAAGGAGTTAACCAAGTAGAGAAAATATAAAGGT